AAAAAAAAAAAAAAAAAAAAAAAAAAATGATAGAATAATATAATATATTTTGATATTTTTAAAAATTTTTTTAACATTTATTGTTTTTTTTTTTTTTTTTTTTTCTAATTAAAGTTTTATTGACTTTCTTCACTTTTTATGGATGAAAATAAATCTTGTTCATTCCAATTTTCTATTCCTCATTTTTCTGTCAATTTTTTATTTGAGAAAGATCAATATGATTTTTATAAAATTAAATATAAAGAAAATATAAAAGATGATTCAAATATAGAACAAGGAAATATTTTAAATGAAACTAATTGCTCTTCTGAAAGTGAAAATGAAAAATTATTTATGAAATATCTTAAAAATATTGTAAGAAAAGGAAATAGTGTAATTAATATTTCTGAAAATGAATTAAATGAGGAGGAAAATGATTTAAATGAAGATACATATTATTTAAATTATACAAGTGAAAAGCATAAAGAAAAAGAAAATTTACCTACAGTTAATAAAATAGAAAACATAGAAAATGAAACAATAAAAAAAGATATACATTTATTTGAAAAATATCCAGATATTTCTATAAAAGATGAACTGAAAAACGAATGGATTTATCACAAAGTGGCAACAAATTTTAATGTTATAAAAGTTAACTTAAAAGATTTTAAAAAAGAATGTGATAAAATAAAGGAAAGATTAAAAATAAATTATTATAAAACAGAAAAAGAATTTCATGAAAAAAAAGAATTAGAAAAAAGTGACAAAAATGAAGAATATTTAGAAATAGAAAAAGTTGGCGCTAAAAGTAACTATATAAATATTGAAAAAAAAAGAAAAAAGAAAAATAAAAATAAAAGTGAATCAAAAAAAAGAAAAAAAGATGAATATGAAAAAATAAAGATAAACTTTTACAACTATTTGATAAAAATTTTATTGTCAGGAATTAGAACACCCAATGTAGATGAAATAATAAATCATATAGTTTATTATAACTGCAACAATTGGCAGCAAAAAATTGATTTAAATATACTAAAAAAAGTTGCAGATGACTCTAAGAAAACAAAAGTATTAAATAGGACAAAATGTTTTTTAGATTGGTTACCAAAAACCGAAGATAATACATTTAGTAAATATCAAATTGTATCAAAATTGAAAAATAAAACATTATCAAAAACATTTAAACTGGTATGTGATTTTAATAATTCTATTTTAAAGGCTTTATATATAAATCAAAACTTAATTAATTCATTTTATACTGAAAAAAAATATCAACTTTATACAAGTTCTTTAAGAAATTTATCATCTAATGATATTTTTGTTATTTCTGTTTCATTTTATCACCCAATTAGAGGAATAAAAATAGCTGAATATGAAATTTTGTCTAACCAAACATTGGCTAATTTAACTGATGTTTTTTTTTGTTTTGATTCATCTAATTATGGTTTACCAAAATTTGAAGGATCTGTTTATTTTATTGATGGAATTCTTTATCCAGATTTGAGAAGTGAAAATGCTTTAGATTATTCTAAATGTATACTAGATTTTTATATTAAAAAAAAAGATACCAACTTTATTCGTTATCCTTATAAAATAAATCAAGATAAAGCAATTCTTAATGAAATAGAAATTCCTTTATTTCAAAAGTGTTGCTTTTTACATCAAGGAAATTGTGAACATAGAATTGTTTTTAACAATATTAGACAATATAATAGTTTTAGGGATAAAGAGTTTTCAAAATATCCCCTTAGAATATTTAAACCTAATACATCAACAAGATATTGTATGTGTTGCCATAAAAATATTGCTGAAAAAATTGTGTTAGATTGTTATTTATTAAAGGAAAATCCATCATATATATGTAACAATTGTTTTAGTTTATTTCTGCTAGATACAAATAATAAACCAATTGACAACTTTATGAAATATTTTGATTACATTAATGATATTTAATCATATATATATATATATATATATATATATATATATATATATATATATATATATATATATATATATATATATATAAAATTTGTAAATAATTTTTTAATTTTAAAAAGAGTATTATATATATTATTTCTAAATAATTTTTGTGCATTAAAAAATATTTAAAAATAATTTATTTTCTTTAAAAATATTTTCTCCTTTTTAAGAAGCTTCATTAAATGCTATGCAACCTATTTTTTTAAAATACTTTCTTATTCTCAATAAAATTTATCTTTTTTAAATAAATTAAATTATTAAAAAATTATAAAGTACATTTATAATAAAATGTATCATTTTTAAAATTATAATTTTTCTCTTCTATTTTAAAAAAAAAATCTTAAAAATACTCTTTTTTATTTTTACGTTTGAAAATATAAATATATAAAAAAAAAAAGAATACTCATAATTTCAATACACAGAAAGGTTCTATTAATTTTTTTCATTTTATTTTTTATAGTTATAAAAAAGTTAATAAGATCTTATAAATTATGTTTTACTGTTAATTATTTCAAAATTAATATTTTTTTTATAAGTTATCTTTTAAAATATTATGAAAAAAAATTTTTTACCTATCCTATATTTTTTTTTTATTCATATATTATTTCTATATTTTTAAATTTATATTAAATATTTTTTTTAATATTTATATAATAATTTTTTTTTAAAATTTTTTATATAATTTTCTATATAAATTCTTTACAATTTTATTTTTTCTATTATTAGTATTTTTTTTTTTTTTTTTTAATGTAATATTTTTTATATTATAATTTATTATTTATAAAAATATATATATGTTTATTTATTTCATTTTTTATTTTTCCCTCTTTATTAAAATACATATTTTTTTTTTAAATTTTATCCCCTCATCTACCTTAAAATATATATGCGCACTTAAATATTTTTTTTTTAATAAAAAATTTTATTGTCGAATTCTTTTTAATTTTAAAAATTTTTTAATAAATTTTAGTATAGATTTATTTTTATAAAAAAAATTTGATTATTTTATTTTTTTTAAATTTAAATTTCATTAAGAAAAAAGGATTTAATTTAATATATGATAAAATATTTTTGAAAATAAAAGGAAAACCTTCACTTTTTTTTTTTAAATTTGAAGCATTATTATTAATTATTAAAAAATGGGGAAATTGTAAGTTTCATATTTTTTTATATTTAATTACTAAAATAAAAATAAAAAGCTTTTTGTTAATATATGTTTTTTTAACATTTTTATAATATAAAAATAAAATTAATATAAGTTTATACAAGTGTAATTATATATTTAATATTATTTTTTTATATATTTTTAATTTATTATTATTTTATTATGTCATTTATATATATATATATTTCGAAAATTCATATATATAAAAAGGAAATATATCTTTATATTCTTACAATATTCTTTTCTTATAAATTTATATAATGTATATATTAATGAATATATATTTATAAATATTCATATTTTTATTTGTATATAGATTAAAACCAGGAAAAGTTGTTATAATATTAAATGGTCGTAGAGCCGGAAAAAAGGCAGTTGTAATAAATACAATTGAAACACAAACAAGAGAAAGACCATACAGCTATTGCTTAGTAGCAGGAATAGAAAAACATCCATTAAGAGTTACAAAAAAAATGCCTAAAAGAAAAATAGTAAAAAGATCTAAAGTGAAAGCTTTTATTAAATATATCAATGTTAATCATATTCTTCCAACAAGGTAATTAAAATGTTTAATATATATATATATATATTAATTAATTATATAATTATATTGAAAAAAATATTCCTTGAATAAATAAAATTTATTTTATTATATTTTTATTCTTTAGGTATCAAGTGGCTAATGACTTTGATATTAAAAGTTTAGCTTCTGATGAAGTTTTAAAATCTAAAAATAAAAAGAAAGAAGTTAAAAAATTAGGAAAAATTTTTAGAGATAAGTAAGTGTTTATTTTTATATCATTTTTTTATTTTTATAAAACTATTTCAAATATTATTTACGTTTTGATTTTTGTATATATTTTATCATTATATATATATTTTAATTCTAAATTCTTTTTATTTTTTATATAGATTTTTAGAGCCAATTAATAAGAAAACAGGAGAAGTTTCTAAAGACATTTCATTTTTGCACAAAAAATTATACTTCTAAATCAATTTCGAACCATAATTTTTTCTAGTTCATATATGTTGTATATTTTCTTTTTTTATTATTTCCATATTTTATTTTTATTTCTATATATATAAAAAAAAAAAAGTTTTTAATAAAATTAAAATTTTTATAACGTGAACATTAAATAACTGTTAAATTAGAAAGCTACATTAAAGAAAAATAATAAATTTGCAAAATATTGAAATAAAAAGAGAAAAATGAAAAAAAAAAAAAAAAAAAAAAATAGCCATAAATAGTTAATGATAACAAAGATAAAAATTCATACTTGTATATCTATACAAATTTATAAATTAAGTAAAAATTTTGATCTGTTTTTCTTTTATTGATTTATAAGCATATGTAATAATAAGATATATATTACAAATTGGTTCTATTAGAAATCAGGAAAAAATTAAAAAATTTATTTTATGAAAGTTTAAAATTAGACACTATAAAAAAACAAAAAAACAAAAAAAAACTTTTTACAATGTATCAATTAAAAATAATCTCTAATTACATTAAATAATATATATATATATATATATATATATATATATATATATATATATATATATATATATATATATATATATTTATATATAAAATTTTTACATATAAAAAATAAAAAAAAAGTAATACAAAATTTTTTATTCGTATGTTAAATATATATATATATTATTTTTTAAGATGTATAATTTTTCAAATTTTAATAATTATTGAAAAAATTTATTGAAAAATATACCTTGTAATAATAATGGATAAGAAAAATATATATTTTTATTTTATGACATAATTTTTAATATTCTTTTTTGTTTAGATTCTTTCAATTTATTCTTGTTTATCTTTTATATAATTTAAAATGTAACATATTTTGTATATCTTTAATTATTAAAATTTTATTCTTATATGCAAATAATCTTATTTGTTTAGTACATTTTTTTTTATTTGAATTGTGTTACTTTTTATTAATTATTTTATTATTTTTTTGATATTTTATATAATTCTATTGTTCATTTAAGCAATATTTTTCAATAAATTCTGTGAACATTCTTGCTTCTCCTGGGCTATCCATCGCAAATGCAATGGCTTTAAGAGTACTAATTAAACGGATTCCTATAACTTTCGGAGATTTTAATAAATTTTTTTCTGACTCTAATAATGATTCGCAATTATTTCTATTAAGTATACAATTTATATCATTAAAATTTATAACTCGAACCTTATTATCTAATGATAGTTCAAAGCATTTTTCTTTTAAATAAATTTTTAAATGACACTGAATTTCATTACCATCTGGAAAAGCAACTTTAATTACATCTCCTTTTTCATATTTATCTATCCATCCCTCTAAAGTCCAATCACCATAATCTCCATATATTTCATTGTCACTTTTTATTATATCTATGTTTGATTTATTATTTTTTAAATCATGGATACAACATAAAGTATTTCCCATAATGAAAATAATTAAATATTCAAATGAAAATGAAGTAAAAAAATTAAGAAATAAAATGAAAAATAAAAAAAAAAAAAAAAAAAAAATAAAAAAAAATAATCCAAAAAAAAAAAAAAAAAAAAAAAAAAAAAAAAAAATATAAAAAAAAAAAATCCAAAAAAAAAAAAAAAAAAAAAGAAAAGAAAAAGAGTTTTATGATAGCATGAAAAAAAGAGTTATATAAAAAATTAAATGTAAAGAGACTTACAGCTAACTATAAATGTTATATACATAAGTTAAAAAAAAAATTATATATTAAAAGAGAACAAAAAAAAAAAAAAATGAATAAAAATTAAAAATGATCTATACATGTTAACATTACAACAGATTAAGTAAAAAACTTTTTTTTTTTCTCTTCTAGGAGATTAATTTATAATTGTATATGTATATAAGCACAATAGCAAAATTTGCATTAATGTGCGCAAAATGGTTGCGGAAGATAATAAAAAAAAAAAAAAAAAAAAAAAAAAAAAAAAAAAAAAAAAAAAAAAAAAAAAAAAAAAAAAAAAAACTTCAAATTAAGTAAAACGGAAAATTCAGTTTAATATATACATATTTGCACTAATTTTGCTTAGTGTTATACAAATAAAATTAAAGATTAAAAATACAAAATTCTGAAAAAATTTAATTTTTCAAGATTGTTGCAACTGAAAAGTCAAAAAAAAAAAAATATATATATATATATAAATATAATGTATGTAAAATAAAAAAAAAAAAATAAAATAATTTTTGAAATGCACCACGAATAAAATAAACTGTAATTCAAACTTTAACTAGAAAAAACAAATAGAAAATAATTTTTTAATTTTAAGTTTTATCTTATAATAAATTCTAATAAGATCTTTAAATTTTAATTTTTTTTGTTAAATTTCATATTTATGTAAAATATTTTATATTTCTCAAAAAAATACCTTCAAAATTTATAATGCATTAAATTATAAGAAAATGAAAAAAAACATATTTTTTCATAACATTACAGTACTTCAGTTTCATATATATAGTATTGATTTTAACCCATTTGTATTGTCATTAGTAATTATTTTCGCTGATACTTTTATGTATATTTTAAATAGTTTATCAAATTTTATTTATCTTGCATATTTACCTTTTGTGATTTTTCATCTTTTAAATATTATTAAAATCGATGTCTAAATTATTCCCAAATGTAAATTCTACACATTCGTATATTTAAAGATGCTTTTTGGTCATAATAGGCAAATGAAATTAAAAACTATAATAAAATAGATCCTCATAATATTTAATAAAATATGAAAATACATGTTTTAATTTGTATAAAATTTTATGGAAAATATTTGCATCATTTATTTTATTTTTATTTGAATATCAAAGGTAATAATAAAGTATTCCTTTAAACTAATAAAATAAAATTCTCAAAATCTTTATATTAAAATTTTTTATTAATTTATATATATAAAATCACTTTTTTATAATTTACTTGAAAAAATGTATTTTATAAATTATCATGTAAGATTATAATTTACAGAAAAAATATAACATAGATATATATATATATAAGATAATATTTCACCATTTAGATATTTAATAATTTTTTTATTTTAGAGTTTTTATTTTTTATTTTCTATTTTCTTATTTATACATTAAAATTTTATCAGTTTAATTGTTATTTCAAATTAAGAGTTTTTTTATAGGCTAACATGAAAAAAATTTTGTGATGCATTGAATTGTTATTTTTTTTTAAATTTAACATATTTTTTCGAAAAATTTTCATAATTTTTTGCAAGAGTAATATTTTTTCAGTAAAATCTCATTAGTGGTAAACTGTACAATAATAATATTCTGTTAATTTTTTATTATCTTTTGTTTTATAAAAAATTTTATTTGTGAAATATTTTTGTGACAACGCTAATAAAAGAGAAATGGAATAAAATTCAGCATAATTTTTCTTGTAAGTATATAATAAAGCAATATATAAGTTAATAAAAAAATTTCGTGAAATTTTATTATATATTCCTTAAATAATGTGATTTCATATGGTTAATGATCACACATTTAATTTTTTTAAATTTAATAATTTAAAATGAATTCTTTTTTATTTAAAATTTCTAAGCCCATTTGAAAAAAAAAAGAAATTAAAATCTATAATTTAATATTTGATGAACAAAAAAAAAAAAATTTTAAAATAAAACAAAAATCTTTTAATTTTTATAACAAAAATATATATATATATAACACTAATGAAAAATATCATATACATATAAAAGTATATTTTTTACAATAAAATAATATATAAAATTTGACACCAAGTTCTACTGTAGAACTTATTTTAAAAGTTATTTTCGATTTAAAGTTTAAATAAAAGAATTAATCATATTTTAAATATAAGACTAATTCATATTATAATACAAGTGAACACAATTATTTATATGAAATTTCAAATAAATTTCAATTCTTGCATTTTAATTTATTATAAATAATAATATTGAAAAATATAGTTTATATAATTTTTTTTTAATTTTAAAGTACCTAAAATTATACGGAATATTTAGCTACATTTGATTAAAATTAATAACAGCTTTATTACATTTTATTTATTTATTTATTTTTTTTTTTTTTTCTTTTGGTATATTAAATATCCTTAATAATATTTTAAAAATCAAATATTTTTTAATATAATTTTAGAGAAAATTAAGGAAAAAAAAAAGGCATAATTAGCGCTTCAATATATATATATATATATATATATATATAATTTAATAGAAATTCTTAATAAAATTAAGATATAAATTCATATGTTGAAATAGTATAATTATAGAATTAATTATATATTAATATCATATTAAAAAGAATAAATTAAAATGTACATGGTATATTAGAATTAAAAAAAAAAAGAATGTGTTAATTTTTTCATTTTAATACTTTGAAACTGTCTTAGTACTATAGATTTGGGTTTTATTTTTTTAAAATCATTTATATGTTTTGTTTAGGCCCATATTTTTTTAAATTCCTATAATTTATTATTTTTTAATTATATAACTCCTTAATTAGTATCTAATTTTTATGTGGTTCTGTATATTCACTTGTGTGAAATATCTAAGTTGTCAGAAAATTTCTTCTTGGATTGGTATAATAATGTAAAAAGATATAAATCTTTGGAAGTTTTAGATTTATCATATATTTTGGAATTCGTTGAACTGGATTTGATATCATTATATTTATTTGTTATTTTTGTTTTTTTATTTTTTTTATTTATGGCACTATTTAAATTTTTTTTTTTTTTTTCATCTTTTTTTTGATAGGTATTTTTTATTATCTCATTACCTTCACATTCATTTGAAGAAGTATTATTATTATTTTGTTTTGAGATATTTTTTTCCATCAATGTATCTTTTATTACATCTTCACATTTTATTTTATTATTACCAGTTTCAATTTCATCTATATTACTACTACTATTCACCTTTTCATTTGTCTTCTCTTGGTATAATTCTAACAATTCATTATTTCTTTTTTTTAATGTTTTACAATGTGTATGATAAAATATTTTTTTATTGTTATCAAAACTTTTGTCATTTTTCTGTATTTCTTTGAAATTAGTATTAGCTAACTTTAAAGCATTATTAATATTATTTTCTTCTGTACATGAAGTTATTGTTTTTTTTTTTAATTTATCTTTATTATTATTTTCCTCATTGTTACATAAGTTATTACTTTCTATATTATCATTTTTATTTTCATTATTATTAAATCCCTGATTGATCCTTTGTGTTTTTGAGATACCATTGCTTTTATAACTAATGGATGCTGTTGTAGATGTTCTAGATATTTCGTGATTCTCTAAATTATAGAAATGTATGTTTTTATTATTACAAGATGAGTAAAAACCGCCACTATTACTATTTTCTTTATTAAGAATGTTTCTATTGTCATTTATATGTGAATTAGAAATAGAAGAATTAGAAAAACAGTTTAAATTATCACAATAATAATTTGCTGCTTTATATTTCTCATGACTACATTTATTTATATTTTTATTTTTTATATTATCTATATCTTTATTTTCTCCCAAAACATTATTATTAATCCATCCCTCATTTTTAAAATAATTAAGACAATCATAAAACAATATTTGTGTATCTAAAATGATATCTAATGGTGTTATTTTCTTTTCTATTTTTTTAAAAATATAGCAACATTGACAAAACATTAATTGATATAGTTCTTCTCTATTCAATTTTTCAATTAGATTTTTAAAAAAGTAAAAATATTTATTATTATAAAGATTCCTATAATTTAAATTTAAAATATAATTTTCATATAAATTACGTATATCAAAATTATGAGTATCTTGGTTGCTTTTATTTAAAAAAAATTCATTTATTTTATCTAATTCCTTTTTATGAAATTTACAGAAATTATTATAAGGTATATTGTTATTTGCATTTCTATGTTCATTAATAAAACTATATGATAGATTCAAAAAATCTTTAGGTTCATTATAATTGCTACAATTTATATTTTTATTTTGAGTTATATATGAATCATACTCAATATTACTCGGAATAATATAATTTTTCAATTTTAAGTAATTATAATATTTATGAAGTATTTGTTTAATTTCATCATTATCTATATTATTATTATTATTATTATTATTATTATTATTATTATTATTATTATTATTATTATTATTATTATTATTACTATTGCTGCATAAATTTTTTTTATTTGTACCATTATTGATATTTGTATTAATTGATAAATTATGACAGTTCATTTTATTAAAATACATATTATCATCACCTGGTTTAATTTTACTTATATTGCTTAAAAAATCATTTCTATTAAATGAGTTATTATTCAAAAGAAAAAATGAATTATATATATCATTAAACTCATTCTTCTTATTGTAATTAATATTATTACTGAGAGAATTATCATAAAAAAAATTATCTTCTTTATGTATTTTTTCAAAATAACTATTCATACAACAAACTTTCTCTTTATTAAAATTGTGGAATTCTTCATTATGGTTAAAATTATTTAAATTTTTATTTTTATTTATTTCATTATTTTCAGTATTATAAGAGTTTGATAACTTTATATTATTTAATACATAGTTCCTCATATAAATATAATAATAAAAATTAAGTAACTTATCATTTATAATTGTGTTTGGTCTATTTAAAGAATTCAAGTAAAATTTTAAAGTTTCATAATTTTCTTTTAATTTTTTGGACAAATTACTTATATTAGGAATATTTTTTAGATAATCAATTTTATTTATATTATTATTATTTATATTTTCATATTCACCATAATTAGTTGTAATATAATTATTTATATATAAATTGTTATTACTTTCTTGACTCATATTATTTAATCCGTGATATTTGCATTTTTCTGTTTCTAGAGTAATTTTATTATTATGATTATGTATATTTTGAATGCTTTCATTTAACTTTGAAGTAGATTCTTTTTCATTTTTATAAGCACAAAATATACTTTCATTTAATTTTTCTTTTATTATATCCAAATGCTTATTTTTTTCATTAACTTCTATGTTTTTTATTTTATTTTTAATATTTTCATCATTTAAATTAGGATAGTTCTTTTCCATATATAAATTTTTAAAATCATTTATAATAGAAAGTGAATTATTTTCATTATGTTTATTCTTATTTTTTATGGTGCATAAATCTTGTTCATTTCTTGGAGATATTTTTTTGTTTAAAAAAAATTTACTATTTGCATATTCCTTCATATTATCATCCTCTTTACTATCATTGACATTAATTTTATTAGCTTTTATATATTTGTTCATTTTTCCATTGAAAATACTTTCATTATCATAATAACTTTCATCATTTGCATAATTGTTTAATTTAATTTCTTCCTTTTCTGTACACATTTTATTTCTACAATTATTTTCTTCTTCACAATTTTTATTATTATTTTGTTTTTCACGAGTATATCCTTTAGGGTTATTTGTATTTTTAAAAGAATGATTATTAACAGATTCAATAAAATTACTTAATACATTTTTATCTATGATATCTTTTACATTATATTTATTTCTATTCCCTCTCTCAATAAACATATTATTAGTAGTGCTCTCATTATTTATATTATATGTGTTTAAATTAATTTTATCTATTATTTCTTCATTTTCATCAAGGTTGCTATTATCATTATTACTATTATTATTGTGGTCATATTTAACCTTATTTATTTCTAATTGATCCTTGTATGTTAAATTTTTAACGTTTAATGTAGCTTCTTGAATGTTAGGATAATTTATTTTTTTTTCTTGTAAATCATTTTTTTTTTCATTTTTAATATTTTCTAAACATTTTTTTATATGCTTTTTATTACCATTAAATGTCTTTAAATTAGCACTATTTAAATTAAAATTTTCAGTAGAATTGTATGGAATATTCTGATTGTTGTGAAAAAAAAAAAAATCAAAATTATGTAAATCATTTAGAATTTTTTTAGATGATTTATAATGATTGCATCCATCCGGAGAATTATGCTTGCATGTTTCATTTTCTTCTGAATAATCACATGAGCAAGAATATATATTATTTTTTTTTGTAAAACTGTTCATATTTTCTAGATCTTTCAAATTGTTTTTTTCTCCACTATCTTTTAAAGTATTTTCTTCGATTATCTTAGTATTATTAGTAAAACAATTATCAGTTTTTGTATTATCCTTATAAAACTTGTCTATTTCTGTATTTTCTACTTTTTTATTTAAAATATTATTTTTAGAATTTTCTACAAGAGAACAAGTATTTTCTGAACATAATCCATCTTTACAAAAATAATTTGAATTATAGATATTTTCTTTAGAATCATTATCATTAATTCTTGATAACTTCTTTTTTTTATTACAACCTATGTAATTTTTTTCATTTGAGTAATTATTTGTATAATTATCCTCGGAAATTTTCTTTTTCTTATTTTGTTTATCTTTAGAAATTTGTTTATCTAAATTGTTTATATAAAATGAATCAAAATAGTTTTTATTATAATCAAATGCTTCCAAATTATTTATACTTTTTAATTCTTCTTTGAGATTTTCATAATTTATTGATTTAGTACGCATCATATTTTTAGTGTTTCTAATAATTTTGTTATCATTGTATAAAGGATCACAGTTTCCCTTACTAATAAAAAATAAATTTAGATACTTACTATTTAATTTTTCTTCTATCATTTTTTTTAAATATAAATTTGCATCTTAAATTACAAATTTACAACTATTTTATATATTATGTATATTAATATTTATTCTATTTATTATTTATTTTATTCTATTTATTATTTATTTTTTTTTATTTTTTTTTTTTTTACTTTAAATATATTTAATATCATTTGTATGAATATACTATATTTATTTCAATAATATTATAATAATAATATATTTGTAGATAAGCTGTTAAAACTAATAAAAAAAAGAATAAATTAATAAATAAATAATAAATATATAGTAATAATATTTATTTAGATATTTAAAAAAAAAAAAAAATAAATAAATAAATAAAATGCTAATACAAAACAAATGATAACTTAGTTTTCTGTATTATATGTTGCACTGCTGTTGCAATTTAGAAAAAATTAAAACCAATTAATATTTAAAAAAAAATAAATAGAAAAAACTAAAACTTAAACTAAATTTTAAAATTCATATAGTGTTAAAAAAGAAAAATAATAAAAAAAAAAAAAAAAAGAAAAGAAATAATATTCCAAAAATAATAGTCTAAAATTATAATAATTACTATTTAAGATGCTTTTACATTGAAATATAATTCCAATATATAAAAAATACATATATATATATATAAATAGATAAATTAATATTTAATTATTTTTTATATTATATATTCATACAAATTTTATGAATAAGAAAAAAAAAAAAAAAAAATACTTTTCTTTATGAATTAGAAATGAATTCAAATTATTTATAATATTTATAAATGTATAATTCAATTTAATCCTGTTAAGTTGTTAGTTTCAACTAAAATGTATAAATTTAAACATTTTTACATTATTATGTACAATATATTAAAGTCATTTATCATTTTTTTTTTTTTTTAGTTTTAAGAATACACAGCTATATGCTTAAAATTATTTAGATTAATTATTTAAAAAAGTGTATAAAAAAAATAAGGAAAACTAAATTTAATCTAAATTCAAAAATTCAAATAAAAATGTTTACGTAAATAATAAAAAAAAAAAAAAAAATGCTTTCTAAAATTTAGAAAAAATATTTTCATAATGTGCAACTAAAAAATACAATTATAAAAATTAATAATTTATAAACATAAATATATTAATAAATTCAAAAATATAAACTTAATAATATAAAAAAAATTTTTTTTGAATTACAACAAAATGAATGTTTTAAATAGTTTTTTTTTTTTTTGATCTTCAGACAATTTTATATACATATGTAATTATTTTTTATAAGTTATTCTCTTTTTAATATATAAATTATTTAATATATATATATAATTAATCAAATATTTAGAGACAAATAGTAAAGTAATAAAATAATAAATAACATTAGGCATATATAGAAAAATAATTCATAATACTTAATAAAAAAAAAAGTACGTTAAGATATATACATATATAAAATTAAAAATTTTATTTAAACATTGAAAAGTAAAAACTTTTTCTTATATATAAATAATTCATTGGAAAAGAAAAAGTAACTTAATAACAATAAATTCTTTGGATAATATAAAAAGTGATTAAGTATAATTCTAAATTTTAATTTAACAAATGCATGCTAAAAAAGAAAAAAATAAATATATATATATATAAAAAAAAAAAATATAGTATAACAATTTTCATTATAAATATATGTAAAGTTTTTTATTAAATATAATTATGTGTTAGTATTTATAGTTTATATCTTTACAATGTTAATACAAAATTTTATTTTTTTTATGGTGATATTCATCATAAAAGAATTATTATAAGAGATTAAAAATAATAATCTATGTGCATATAATGAAAAAAGGTAATACACGAATGCATTTATTCATATATATAAATACACAATTTTTTAATTTATTTAGGATACAAGTAGACATAAATTACATAATCCTCAAAAAAATATTATTTATGATAGAACTACACATAAATGCAACTTTAATTTAGGTTTTAAAAAAAAAAATAATTCATAATATTTTATGCAAAAATTTGAAAAAATCTTATATTTTAATACAAAAATACGCCTAATTTTTTTAATGTTATTTTTAATAATAAAAAAAAAATGTATATAATATCAATCGAAATGTATGAATAATTTGTAATTTTTTTTTTTTTTTTTTTTTTTTTTATAATTACCAAAAATTTTATATTAAAAATACAAATGAAATAAAAAATTTAGCTTATGTCTAAATATATATATATATATTTAAAAAATTACACATATGCAATTTATGTTACATTTACTAAAATTTTATATAAATTATATAAATATTTATTATGTTAATTAAATTATAAAATTACATAAATTTTATATTTTTTTTAATTATTTTAAATTTCATGCAAACTGTAGCTATTACATGCAAACCAACATTGAAATTCTCATTATAAACTACAGCTATTTTAGTTAATATATGATAATAAAAAGGAATAGCTTTTTTTTTTTTTTATTTTTTTTTTTTAATATAATGGATTTTTTATCGTTTTGTATTATTATAATTTTTTTTTTTTTTTTTTTTTTGGTAGATAACTACATTTAATATGTAAGAATTGTCAATATTAAATAAAAATAAATTAGCATTAATCTTTATATGTTCTTATTCGCACACGAATAATTTATTAAAGGATTTTAAAGAAAATTTATTTTTTTTTAAAATCATACTAAATATAAATGTAGGAAGGTATAAATGTATATTTATGTGATTATATCTTTTCTTTCCATTTCAATTTAATAAAAAATACCTTAAGCTAGAAAAAGATATATTTCTTTATTTCATGATATATTCTATTACTCTATTTTATGCCATTTTATTTAACAATATTATATCTTAAGTTATTTTATTTTTATTTATACATTCATACTAGTTTTATTATATTTTATTTTATTTTTTTTTTTTTTTTTGTGTGGTTTACTTGTTAATTCATAAAATACTGCGATTAAGTGCTAAAGATATCAAATATTAATTTTTTTTTTATATTTAAAAAAAAAAAAAATAAAATAAATAAATTAGGTTTACAACAAAATAGAAAAAAATTATTAATAATTATGTTTTATTTGTTTCAATAAAAAAAAAAAAATAAATAAAGCTAAATATTATTTGATGTTCTTCTGAAAAAGTAGCTCCAATTAAGCTTTTCTATTATTATATAAACCTCATAAGGTTATTTAATTTAAAAAAAAAAAAATATATATATATATATATATATATATATATATATATATATATAAAATAAAAATGATACTTCAAATATATTAAATTGTAATTAAAAATTGTGGAATATTGATTATAAGAAATATAAAAAAAATTCAAAGTAAAAATATTTTTTGTTAGTTCATTTCACAATATATTATCAAATTTAATTAGTATTTGAAACAACTGCTAATGCTGAAAATCTGTTATCATCAAAACATTTGTCTATGAAGTTCTTTTTTATTATATTTGCAGCATCCTAAAAATATTGATAAATTAAAAAATATAAATACATATATATTTATTTATTATGTTAAATAAGAAAAGAAGAAATTACATATAAAAAATTATCTGGAGTAGTTAAGCAGTGAATAATAGGTTCGTTTTTTCTTCCATCCTTTATAAAGTAAAAAATATTAAATATATATATTTGTAATAATAAAAAATAATTTCAGAGATCTTACTAGTTCAACTACGTGGCCATCTATTTCTATAAACACAATGAAATGTGTGTCAACCTAATGTAAAAAATATATATGATTTAATATAGTTTTTTTTTATAAAAATTTTTCGTTTTTTTTATAAAAATGTTTCGTTTTTTTTAGAAAAATGTTTCGTTTTTTTTTATAAAAATGTTTCTTTTTTTTTATAAAAATGTTTCCTTTTTTTTAGAAAAATGTTTCTTTTTTTTTATAAAAATGTTTCGTTTTTTTTAGAAAAATATTCTATAATTTACATCAACAATTTCTTCTGTGCCTAAATCTTCTCCAGCAAATTCATGATGTAACAATTCAAAACTTTTAGTGTTTTCAAATTCCTTAAAATAAAAAAATTATATAAACTAATTAGAGAAAAAAAAAAAAAAAAAAAAATAAAATTCAATTAATACTTTTGCTCTTTCATCTGGGGTCATATCTTTAACTTTATTAAAAAAATTATCAGCGATTGAACCCCTATCTTAATAAAGTAAGAATGTTTAAATTATATATTTTCGATCATAAAAAAAAAGAAATATTAAATTATATAAATGTCAAAAGTTACCTAATAAGAATTTATTTTTTAAATTATTATGCAAATGCAAAAGAGCAATTGTACCGCAAGAATTACGAATATTCTTATTAGAAATAATAAAAAGTGACAAATAATGCAAGATGCAAAAGAAAAATAAAAAAAAAAAAAAAGGAAAAACAAAATATGGAAAATTGTAAGACATTTTGTTATATGAATAAATGTATATATACGTTTTAATGTCTAATATAAAATTTTAAATGTTTACTTGTTTAATGAACCATATGTTGTCAATATTTTTTTTTATATACCCATCGTTTGAATTATTTCCGTTAAGCTTATTTAAATAAATTAAAAAATTGTATTACTTATTATTAAAAAATATAATGAAGGAGGGAAAAAAAAAATAAAAAAATCATTTAATCATTAATACCTTTTCACTTAGAGGATATAAAAATATTATTGCGTGAACTGGTTTAGGTATCTATTAAAGATTTATAAAAAAAAAGGAAAATTATATTATTAGTTTTTATAATTGTGTGAAACTATATTATTAATAGAATTTTTCTTTTTTCTAAAGTATGAAATAATTTTAATTAACCATATCTAATAATTCTTTATGAAATCCATATATATCTAAAAATTTTAATTTTGATTGACCAAGTTTACAAGAATATAAAAACATAGAATCTGGATTTGATTCTATAGGTATCCATATATTTTTTTTTAGCATCTTTTTTAATATTTTTTGATATTTTTTTTTTTTTTTAAAATAAATCAATTTTACCTACCTATTTATATATGAAATATAAAAATAATCATAAAAACATTTATTTTTTATATAAAATTTTTTACTTTTTTAATTTTTATTATTTCATAGTCTTTCTTAAATTTAATATTTTATTATCCACAGAATAATATTTATTCGTTACTTTATATAGTAATTATTTTTTGTAATTTATGAAAGTATCTTTTGGCTTAACGTATCAACTTTTTTTTTTAAAAAATGAAAATTAAATAAATGAAAAAAAAAAATAAAAAATTCTCTTTTATATTCTCATAATGTCATGGTTTTTTTTTATTTTTTTTATTTTTTCTTTTTATAATAAGGGACTAAAGTGAAAATATAATGAATAATTTTATGCATTTTCTGTTTTAAAAAATTAATTTAGTACTTACATTTAATTAAAATTACAAAAAAAAAATTTTTTTTTTTTATAATTAATAAAACAATTAAATAACTTTTATAAATATATATAATAAAGAAAATATTTATCTTTTTTGAATAATACAAAATTTATATAAAACTTAAAACAAAAAATTAAGAATCATGGCAAAATCAAAAAATCACACAAATCATAACCAAGTAAATTAGATCTTTGATATTTAAATAAGAATTTAATTTTATATATTTGTATTAGTGTTTTTATTGTTTTTAATATTTTTTTTATGTTCTTTTTATCTTTTTTTTTTTTTTTTTTTTATATTTTCCACATTTTTAACTAAGTTATATAAAATTGCTATTGAAATATGTTTTTTTTTTTTTCTTTTTATTATAGAATAGAAAAGCTCATAAAAATGGAATAAAGAAACCCAAAAAGTTTAAATTTATGTCTCGCAAAGGGGTAAATGAATATTGAATATATATTTTAATATTAATTATTTTACATTTTTGTTTAAAAAAAGTATATTATTTTATTTTTTTTCAATATTTAACTTTTATGTTTAACTTTTATAAGATGTATCTTTTTATAACTATTTATTTTTGTTGTAATATTGATACATACAATGTCTTTTTAATTGTTTCATTTAAAATTTTTTTTTTATTTATTGTTTTATTTTTATTTTTTTTTTTTTTTGATAGTTGGACCCCAAGTTTTTTAAAAATCAGAAATATTGCTTAAAAGGATTATTGAAAAAAAAAAGAGAATTAAAATTAAAGAATAAACAAGAATCAAAGAATTGAACATTTTGATAAAGTTTGGATGTTACAGTGAAAACATTATGATAATAAATCTAAAAGTACTAAAATTTATTTTTTTTTTTATAACTAATGATTAAATTGTTTGTTATGAATTACTTGATTATACTTTTAGCTTTTTATAAAATCTTTAAGAAAATATATTAAATATTTATAAATGTAAATATAAATTTTAATGAACTATAAAATAACTTCAAGTAATGAAAAAAAAAAAAATTATTAATCTCATGATTAAATATTTATAGAAATAAATTCTATTAATTAAAATTTTAAAAATATTTTAAAAAAGAGTAACAGTATTTTTCTAAAATATTATTATATATTAAAAATCTATAATTCATTAAATTTTTAATGATATTTATAATAAAAATTTATGTATTTTTACTATTTACATAGCTTTCTAAATATAAAAATATTATACTTTTTTTTTTTTTTAATTATTTCACTTCATATATACGGAAGAATATATATCTTTATTAATATTCCATTAAATTTAATTTTATTATATATCAAAGATGTCTTAGTTCTAACAAATTATCTCAATGTATTTATAATAATTTGTTTTAAATTTCCTTAATTTTGCTTCTATTATTTTGCTTTTGATATAGTTTTTATTATATTATTTATTTACTAGCTATTCACAAAATTCGCTACCACTTTCATAATAACATTTATAAGAACAAAAAAAGTTTAATAATATTTTTATAGTTTATTATATATTTAGGTTTTTTAATAAAAAAAATTAATAATTTCACTATTGCTTACTAATTCATTTAATTTAAATATATATATATTTATATAAATCAATACTATCATTTATGTAAGAAAAATATTAAATAGAAATGAATATAATCATTGAATACAAAATGTATATATCTTTTACGTATTAATTCTTCATTTTACTCTTTTAAAGTTTAAATATATTTTTTAATTCATTTTTTTTTTTTTTTTCTTTGTTTGTGATTCCTAAATTTGAATAATAGAACCCATAAAATGTATATTGTAAAAATATAAATTTTAATATTTTAAGTTATTCAAGAATAGTCATATTTATGTAATTAATTCAGGGGTGTAATACATGCATTAAGAAAAAATATGAGACATATGTATTAAACTTATTACAAAATATTATTTAATAGTTATAAAAAAAAGATTATTTCAAAAATAATATTTCTCTAAAATTAGATTTCCCTATAATTTAAGAACTCTACAATTTTTATATTTTTTTGTTTATATAATAATATATTATATATTAAACGTTCATTTTTTTTTTTTTTTTATCCTATTTTTTAGTTGATATAATTATCTTTGTAAGTATATTTTTTTTTTTTTTTTTTTTGTTATGATTAATTAAATTTGTTTTTTAATTTTTTGTATTTAATATAATTTATAAATGATGAACAACTACTAATGTTTGCTTATATTTACTTATATAAAAAAAAAAAAAAAAAAGAAATATATGTCATAGTTTAATTTTTGGAAATTTTTTTTGTCAAAATGTCATCAATTAAAATAAATAAGGATGAAGGTAAAAGAGTTCATATATGGATTAAAAGTGCAATTGGAACACCTAATAGGAGACAATTTAAACATAAAAATATTATGTATCCTTATTTTCGTATGTATAAATCACCATATAGAGCTAGAGATTCGAGAACTAGGCAGGCGTTTTGGCCGTGTGTTGATAAATATCCTTGGCATACCCATCAGAAAAGATGGGTTAAAATGGAACAATTAAATATTAAATTTTTTTCTGAATTTACAAATAGACCTCCAAATAAAAAAAACTTATTTGAAGTATGTCATACATTGCCATTTAATGGAATAAATTGTTTATTTTGGAATCCTATTTACATTAATAGTCATAAATTTTTTTTAAAAAATTGTAAAAAAAATGATGAAAATGAAGAAGAAAAAGAATGTAAAGAACACAATGAAGACATAGAAGATAAAAATGATAATGAATTAAATATGAACAGTAAAGAAAACGAAGTCTGTAATATTGAAAATAAAAATACTGTAAATAATTATGATGAAAATAAAAAAATTATAAGAATATGTAATTTTTATTATATTGTAGATAAAGAAGTTAAAAATAATGTTTACTTTTATCTTAAATATATCAAATACACTATGAGGCCTTTTAGAGGAAAAATAATTGGTGATCTTTATTTAAATGAAAGAAAAATTCGAGATAATATTTCAGCAAAAGGTATAGTAAACGGAGAATGGAAGTTTTCATTTCCCCATATAAAAGTAAATCAAAAAGTAGCTAATATTACACTAAATGATAATTTAATAAACGAAGAATTAGAAAAAAATATTATTAAAAATTTGGTTATAGTAGATAAATATACATATAGACCACCATTACCTAAATGCTTTAGTGCCTCATAACTTTTTATTATATCCATTTCCATCTATTACCTTTTATTTTATATTATTTAGTATTCATAGAATTATATTTGCTAATTTAACCTATCTTTTCTTACTACTTTCTTTTTGTATCTTAGAATCATTTATAATTTAATTTTTGTATATTTTATTAATGTATAACCTTAATTATATAAAAAAAAATTAACGTTATTATTTTTAATAAGTTTTTTTTTTTTTATTTGAACATTTTTTTTTTTTTTTTTTCAATTATATTATTTATACGGTGATGAACTCTTGTTTTTTTCTTAAAACTTATATATTATAAGAAAATGATAAAAATTTCAAAAGTACACCATATGCATATATAACATCTTTTCTTTGGGTACTAATTTTTTAAATGAAAGCACAAATTTATAAAATTATGGCATTTTTATTTATATTTTCAATAGACACTTATATACACTTTTTAAAAATATAAAACTTCCCTAGTAAACAGGAAAATAAAACTTTAATTGGTATATATGTATAATTATTCAAATTAAAATTCATATAAAAACACTTTAAAAAAAAAAAAAAAAAAAAAAAAAAAAAAAAAATTACATAAAAAATTAAACAAACTATTAATATATTTGGAACTCTGAGTTAAATCGTTTTATTTATAATTTAAAAAATAAAATAAATAAGTATATATATAGATGCATATACGTTTATTAGAAAAAAAAAAAAAAATAAGCTACAATAAAAATTAATTGTGATAAAACAAAATTATAAATTATATCGAGTTTTATCTTAGTATTATTACTTTTAATATAACAAATTACAGTAGTATTCGTAAATAGACATATAAATGTATGGATATTTCTCTAATTTTGATTAAAATATACCGAATTAAAATTAATATATTTTTTTTTTGAAAAAAAGAAAAAATGCTCTCTATAAAATTATTAAAATAAACAAAAAAAGTTTACAAATAATATATGAATTTTTTCTTGACATATTTTAATTGCATAAGGATCTTTTATAAATTTCTCCTAATAAATATGGTTCTATTATTAATCTATTGATTTTATTATCATCTAACAACTTATTATTAATTATAAAATCCAAACAAAATTTACATAATTGCTTGCAATTATATTTATAGCTTAAAAGGACAATATCTAAAACATTTATTTCATTTATGTGATTACTGATAATCAGTTCACATAATTGTAATAATCTAAAAATATTAAAATTCCCTGCAGTAACTAAAATTTTGGTATAAGTTTCCAATGAATAATTCAAAGATAATTCGTCTGTATACAAATAATTTATAACAATTAAAAATATATCATATGGTATATCGTTAATAGGTATAGGCATGATATTATGCGAGATCCCTGTTGTTTCTTTTGTGAAATGCAAGTCAAATATAGAATTAAAACTAGGACATCTTGCTGACAAAATGGATTTACAACCATATATATAGCGATTTTGTAGAATAAAAATAACATCAGCATATCTAGGGTTATTAACCATAAATTTATAGCTACTAAGTAAGGAAGAAGGTTGAACATATACATTTTCTAATTTCAACGCATAGACATCATTTAAAAAATTCTCTCCATCAAACCCGGCAATGCAATATATCACATTTTTATAAAGATGTAGATTCATATTACTTCTCCCTGAAAAATTATTTGTTGTATTAATTTGTGTCCATATTCTTTGATGTATATCAAATTTATAAAAATCATTTAAGCGACCTGAATATTCATTATAGCCTCCTAATATATATATACATTTATTATGTAAAAAGGACCCTGAAAAATACCTGGGAATAGGAATATCACAATAATTATTTTTATTATGAGAACATCCTTTCTTTTCATTATTATATATTAGCTTACTATTTCTTAATGTCTCTTTATTCATATTATATTTCATTTTTGTCCAAATACCCGTTTTTAAATGATATTCATATAAACAATTAAGTGCATTTTCTCCACTAAAACCACCAAATAAATAAAAATAACCATCACAAATATGACCAACAGAACATGATCTAGGACTAGGTATATCACCACTTTCATTTACATATATCCATTTTTTTTTTTCTATATTATAAGCATACATTTTATTGTGTAATCTTAAACCATCAAAACCTCCAAATAAATATAATACCCCTTTGGATTCATCAATAGATAAAGCAAAACCAAATAAAGAGGATGGAGCATTTACTTTACTTTTTTCATTCACATCAACAATTTCCCACTTTTCAATATTTAAATTAAAAGAATAAAAATCATTTAACCAATTTTTATTTCCTTGATAACCTCCAATTATATACATTTTTCCTTTATATAAAAAGGATGGATTATTCTCTCTTGCAGATGGACAATTTTCTTCAATAATTTTTATCCACTTATTTTCTATAATATTGTACTTATAAAAATCATTTAATCTTTTTTTTGATTTATATCCTCCAAAAATATATATATAATTTTTATATAACACCGACGCAGCTCCACTACGCCTAGGAAATCTTACACATTTATTATCATTATCACAAGAATAAGAAGTATTTTTATCGGAAATATAATTTTGCAAATTTGTTTCATTATTTATGTTGTACTTCTGGAAGTTTTGTTCATTATTATTTGGTAAAAATTTCAACTTATTCCATACAAATACTCTTCTGCTTAAATTTTTATTTCTAAATAATGCTAATTTTTCTTTATTTGTTTCAAAGGATGATATATAGTCACTACTTTTAATAATATTATCCTCAGAAATTAACATTTTTCTCTCTTTTTTTTTTTTTTTCTTTTT